TCGTAATTGTGCAACTTAGCTCGGAGGATAGCTCTGGAGGAGGCTGGCTGCCTAAATGAGGCCCACCATGTACAGCTTCAGCAATTTAGAATGTGAGGAAAGGACACCACTGAAACCCTCTGTGAGATCCAAAAGTGCAATGAGAAACAGATTGACAATGCTGAGCTCATCTGAGGGGTATGGGGGGATCTCTGGGGAAGCTCGGATGAACCCAGCACTCAGCTATCTGCCCTGGAGAATACTTCATGGCAGAAGCATACATCTGCTGGGATGGCTGGTCTGTCCTTTACCTCAGATGGTAATTGAGTTTACTGAAAAGCTATTTCTCATGTTGTTGGTGACACAATTCAGATCTCTGTCTGTTAACACCACCAAGAACTTCAAGCATGAATATTTGGAGAATTTTGAAGAATTAGGCAAAAGGATGAAGAAGGCCCCAAATTAAGACCCTTTTATTGTCTATGGAAAAGGAGCTCTGGTGGTATAGTGCCTAAGGCATTTAACTGCTAACCAGAAGGTTGGCGGGTTTACCCACCAGCTGCTCTGTGGAAGGAAGATGGGGTAATCTACTTCCATAAAGATTTACTGCCTCAGAAACCCAATGGGAGTCGCTATGAGTTAGAATCAACTCTATGGCAGTGAGTTTGGTTTTTGAGGTATTGTCTATGGAGGGAACTCTGATTAAGGCATTTGTCTGCTAACCAAAAGGTTGGTGGTTTGAACCCACCAGCCGCCCCAATAAGCAGTCTGCTTCCATAAAGATTTACAGCCTTGAAAACCCAATGGGGATCGCTATGAGTCAGAATCAACTTGATGGTAATGAGTTTGGGTTTTGTGTTTTTTTTGTTTTTCATTGTGGTTTGGGTGAAGATTTACAAAGCAGATTCACTTTCCATACATCAGTTCACGTACACTTTGTCTCATGACATTGACCACAGTTTACCACAATGCAACAGCTCCCCTCCCACTTCCTCCCCATAGTTACCCCTTCGGTTATGTTTTATTGTCTGTGGATGATGAAATATAAAATGTTTTTATTTTAATTTTTTAAATAAAACATTCCACAGCTGTACTGAAGACCTTTATAGTAGAATAAGTCAGCAGTTTGTCCAAACTTACTTTAAATATGCGATGGTACCTATGTGCTGAGTCTCCTTTCTCAGAGCTGTGTTCAGGAAGGGGAGACAGTAAGTAGTCAGAAATGATGGACACTGCTTAGGACAGATGTATCTCTTCATTTCTTCCCTGTGGTGCAGTGAATTATTGGAATGGCTTTTCTAGCCAGTCTTTGTGACTCCCACCAGATTACTGAGTTGTTGTTGCTGTTGTTATTTGCCGTGGAGTCGGCCCCTACTCATAGCAACCTCTCCTTGGGTTTCTGAGGCAGTATCACTACGGAAGTAGGATTGCCCAACCTTCCTTCCGAGGAGTGGAGATTACTGAGTGGGACCATGCAAATAAGGTGCATGGAACTCTCATGTGGGTGTTGTAGGAAAACAAGGTCCTTACCCCCTGTCACGAAGAGCCAACAGTTTGAAGCAGGAAACCAAAAGGATTATTGAGTGCTGATACCCAAGGAGACAGAGAGAATCACTTCTCTATCTCCTTGAGCAAAGGGGTAAACATGATTATATAGGGAAATGGGAAGGGAGGTGAAGATCCCTTGGACTGCCAGAAACATCTTTGTTCTTCTCTTCCCTGGTTACTCCAGACTCGGCGTCCTTCTTCCTAGAGTCGTCTTGCTTCTTAGGCTTTGGTTCTCAGCTGAAACCAGTCATGGGACAGGGTTATGCTTAGAAGAATATGTAATTGAAAATAACAAACCAGAAGAATTCAGAGTCCATAAAGAGGTTGGCTATTCTATTTACTTAAAAGAAAGCCAAAGAATGGGGAAAATAACATGTTAGTCACTATGATTAATGTTTACTTTAGTCATGCCCGCTGGTTAAAGTTCTGCAGTTTTCAGTGCGGGCCCCTTAGGCCTCCACTTCAGTCTTCCATATGGAGATTGGTTAGTTTTGTCATTCCACTAGGTTAACATGAGCCCTCCTAGAGGCAGAAAAGAGCATCTCACTGCCATCAAAAGAGAATGGTTGTACATGAAGTGGAGCAGAGCGCATCCTTGAACCCAAGATCCCTGTGCTGGACCTCCTTGGCAATGATGCCTGGCTGAGAGAGATGACGGCAGTGAAACCAAGAAGCTCAAGACAGAGCAGCAGGCTTTTGGTCCCACAGAGCAAGAAAGCTGACTCTTTTCAGGCAGGAGGCTTTCTTGCAGAGTGGGGTGCACCTAAAAGAGCTTTGTAACACTTGCCGGAGCAGGGCAGAGGCAGGCCAAGAGGCCATGGGCCAGAGAGGCATCCCTGAGGGCATAGCAGAGGGGAGACTGTCCTGAATGGAGAATTGTATCCTGAGAACGTTCCTGAACCTGAGTTGTAGCCTGTTACTTCCCTAATAAACTCCGTATTGTGAGTATTGTCTGTGAGTTCTGTGCAGCCATTGCAACAAATTATTGAACCCAGCAGAAAAGTAGTGAGGGCCATGGGAGGGATGGCTAGTGTCAGAATTGATCAAAAGGCTGGAGGGTGGCGGCATGTCTGGCCTCACAGGAATAAGCCTTGGGTTGCTGACGGCTTCTGTCAGCCGTCTCCCTCTTGTGAAGTTAGAAGAGGTCAGAAGATGCTGCCTCCATGCCCTTTCTGCAATCCCAGTGCTAAAAGACACATGTAACTGTTGTTACTTCTCCCCTCTCCTCCTAGTAGGTCCCAACCCTTTCTTATCCCATTTTTTCTTTCCTTTTTTCTTGCTTTCAGTCATCAAAGATTGTGCATTCACTATGTATTAGGCATGACAAACTGAGACCCTGGGTTTTGCAAACTTTAAGGAGCTAGGCTACTAGCTGAACAGTTGGAGGTTGAAGTCCACCCAAAGGTGCCTCTGAAGAAAGCCCTGGCAATCTACTTCCAAAAAAACAACCACTGAAAACCCTATGGAGCACAGTTCTCTTTTGGCACACATGGGATTTCCATGAGTCAGAACTGACTCAACAGCAACTGGTTTTTAGGCATGAGAGATATTTTAACCTTTTCTCATTCCTCTACTCTGCACTTTCTAAATATCCCAACTAGATGGTATAGCTCGCTTATTAACTTTTTAAGCTAAAAAGAGAAATAAAATAAAAGAGAATCACAGATACATAATCTCTCTTGACTCTGAGTCTCTCTGGCTTCTGTTATGAGCTAAAATGGGCATATGGCATTGTCATGGATTGAATTGTGTCCCCTCAAAATATGTGTCAGCTTGGCTCGGCCATAGTTCTCAGTATTAGGTAATTTTCTTCCATGTTGTGATCTGATGTAATTATCCTTTGTGTTATAAATCCTAACCTCTATGCTGTTGATGAGGCAGGATTAGAAGCATCTATGTTAATGAGGCAGGATACAATCTATAGGATTAAGGTTCATCTTGATTCAATCTTTTTTGCAATATAAAAGAAATTAAACAAGCGAGGAGACATAGAGGGATCTATTAGCACCAAGAAAGAAGAGCTGAGAGAGGAGCACTTCTTTTGAACCCAGGGTCCTGTGCTGGGAATCTCCTGAACTCAGGGGAAGACTGATGCCAACACACATGAAGATTTCCAAGGAACACTGGGCCCACAGATGCTGGAAAGAAAGAACTTTCCTCCTAAACTGTGAGCAAACAGAGAGAAAGCCTGCCCCTAGATGGAGTGCTGTGAATGTAGATTTCTAGCCTCCTAAATTGTGAGAGGGGAGCTCTGGTAGCATAGTGCCTAAAGCACTTGACTGCTAACAAGAAGGTGGGTGGTTCAAACCCACCAGCCACTCCTCAGAAGGAAGGTTGGGCAATCTACCATAGATTGAGCACAGATTGGGTTTCTGAGATTGAGTCTCAGAAACCCGACGGGGTCTCTATGAGTTGGGTCTGACTTGATGGCATATAACAACAAACTGTGAGAGAATAAATTTTTGATTGTTAAAGCCATCAGAGGAGCTCTGGTGGTATAGTGGTTAAAGCATTCAACTGCTAACCAGAAAGACAGCAGTTCAAATCCCCTAGCTGCTCCACAGGAGAAAGATGAAGTAGTCTGTTTCTATAAAGGTTTACAGATTGCAAACCCTATGGGGCAGTTCTACTCTGTTCTATAGGGTTACTGTGAGTTGGAGTTGACTCCATGGCAGTTGGTTTTGGTTTGGTAAAACTATTTGTGCTATTTCTAGTGCTATAGCAGCACTAGATAACTAAGATAACTAAGACAGGTGTGGACATGTAGGACATGCCAAAGGACAGTGTTTGCAGTACTGAGTATGAATGTGGGACAAGGGGACAAGGTTTGAGCAAGCAGCACAAGGCAAATATTTGCAGAGATTACATCCCTTACTAATCACAAGGGAAAGCAAGTAGCTCCCCTTCTCATAGGACAGACTACTGGGCAGATTGGGATCAAGAAGCACCCAAACCTACCAAGGCAGTCTCACTTCTCATTAACTGGATTGTGTGGTAATCTGGGGCCCCTGTAAGTGGGTGGAGGTCCCTGGGTGGTGCAAATGGTTTAACTACTAACCTAAAGTTTGGCAGTTCAAACCCACCCAGTGGCAGCATGAAAGAAAGGCCTAGTGATTTGTTTCTCTAAAGATTACAGCCAAAAAAACTCTACGCACAAACAGTCCTACTCTGTGACACATGGGGTCACCATGAGTCAGAACTGACTCAGTGGCACTGGGTTTGGTTTTGGTTTATAAGTGGGTGGAAGTAAGGCAGAGGAAATCCCTGGTGACCCGAAAATGGGCAAGGTCAGGTGAGAGAAGTTGGATCCCATTTCCTAGGCCTTTACTTTAAAAGAAAAGAAGCTTGGAGCTGATGGATTAGGTGCTCTAGGCTCCTTTTGAACACAATGCTTAGGGAAATGTTTTGTGTCTTTTGGGCTTTTCCCCACTCCAGTGTACTCTGTTCCAGGCATAGGTGGCCTCAGACCCATCATGATGCCGGTTGCATTGCTTCTTTGCTACTTCCTGCTGCAGTCCATGGAGGCCACTTCATCTGGAACCCAGACAAAGGCCTCGATGCACCTTCCCTCCCTGGGGTCCCAGCCACCCTCCTCAGACTCCTTGTTCTGCCAGACCATGCTCCCAAAGTCTCTGCCTGGCTTCATCCACATGGCTCCTCTGCTCAGATTCCTGGTAGGTCTGGCACTGAGGAATGCCCTTGAGAAGGCTGGCTGCCAGGCTTACACCCGGACTGTGGAACATCAGCTCTACCGCCTGGGAGGTGTGAAAGCTACACAGCTCCTTATCCACCATCTCCAAGGGCTCCAGAAAGGCAGAAGCATACAAAGTGAAGCATCAGTGGATGCCCTGGCCTCTGCTCTGCAGCTGCTGGCCAAGGGGCAGCAAGACCCAGAGAGAGCCCGACGCTCCCTCCACACTGAGAACTGTGAGCAGGAGCAGGAGCAAAGACTGCATAGTGTGCTCCGCTGGTTGCCAACCATAAGTACCTACTACAACTTGGGCACAGCTGTGTACTACGCTGCTCAGAACTGCTTGGACAAAGCCAAGACACGAGGCCAAGATGGAGCCATAGATCTGGGTTACGACCTTCTGCTGACCATGGCAGGGCTATCAGGGGGGTCTATAGGACTGTTGATCAGCTCTGCACTTAAGCCTGCAGTGAAGGCTGGGGTTGAGCAGTTGATCCAGTATTACTATGAGAAAGAAACAAACACCCCACTGCCAGAAATCAGTGAGGAGTATTTGTGGACACTACAGATGTGAGTGGCCTGGGGGAGACTACAACTATGGCCTCAGAAGTGTCAGAATTATTAAGTTCAACTCTCTACTGGAGGTTGGGCCCACTCAAGCTCCATTGCTTAGACCCTGAGATTAGGAGTTTAGGCTATAGAAAGGTGGTGGTGGACACAGAAGAAAGGAGCCCCGGTGGGGCAATGGTTACGTGCTGACTGTTAACGCAAGAGTTGGCAGTTTCGATTCACCCAGTGGCTCCACGGGAAAAACACCTGGTGATCTATCTGCTTCTGTAAAGATTACAGCCAAGAAAACGCTCTGGGGCAATTCTATTCTGTCACAAAGGGTCACTATGAGTCAAAAATCAACTCAAAGGCACACGACAACCAACATAGAAGGAATAAATCTAATATTCTGACAATTTGTATGTGTGTGTTCAAATTCCAAATCTCAAGTTACTATTCAGGAGGAAGGCTGGAAACTGTAGGAATTTAAAATTTGCGGTTTGGAGTCAAGAGGATTTGGTTTTGAATCCAAACTCTACTTGTTAGTGTGTCTGTGATCACTGACAAGCAACTTAACTTCTTTCTAGAAACTCAGTTTTTTAATCTCTAAAATGGAGATAATGATTCTCACCGCAATTGGTTGCTGTGGAAATGAAAATGTACAATGAATCTAAAGTGCTTAGCACGGCATCCTCAGTACATGGTAGTTATTATTGTTTTTGTTACCTCAGCCTTCCTCTTCCTATGCCCTAATGTCGAAATTCCGATCCCACCCTTCATAGCAAGCCCTTCGCGCCTCCACGGACCAGTGCCAGTCTCGCTTCCTGAACTGGGGCGCAGATTCTCCGAAATCAGCTGTTGCTGACGTGAGATCTTCCATTAATTGGACTCCTTCCCTCTGCAGACACAGGGCGGAGCTTAATTGAGTTTGCTCACCAATCGCTGGAGCTGGATGTTTCTGCTCCATTTGTCCCGCCCACAGAGTGGGCGGAGTTGTGTCGACACCAATGAGCTCGCAGCCGTGGTGAGCCAAGGACTGGCTTGGCTGAGTGGCAGTCAGGGTTGGGGTGCCAGACGGAGAATTGAGAGCTGCGGGTTCAGCCACCCAAGGAAGCCCGCGACGAAGTGTCGGGGGAGGGATGAGGGGCGGGCCAAAGCCTGGGGCGGAGAGGGAGGTCCTGGTGCCTAACTCGGAGTGGGGACGGGAAGCTGCCAATAGCACCACTGGAGGGAGCGGGGACTGCGACCCCAGCCAGGTACGGGCTCTGACAGGGTGTGCGGGGAGCGCGGGTTCCTCCTTGCAAAGGGAAACAGGCCCTGGGGGTTACACCCTGGAGGAGGCAGAGTCTGTCACCAGGTTGAAAAAAGAGCCTGCTGTCTCCTGTATTTCCCTCTGCCATCCAGCCTAGACCCCAAACCCCAGCGCCTCTCTCCCAAATTTCCCCTACAGCCTCGGAGACCCAGAATCTGGTATTATTGCATAAATTCAGTGTCTTAGCCAGAAGGCTGGCGGTTCAAACCCACCAGCCACTCCTCGAAAGGAAGATTGAGCAATCTACTTCTGTAGAGATACCGACTCTGATGCAAAGTTAGATACGATTTATCCTTATTTGTTATATTAAAAGTGTAAGGCACGGAACGGTGAAACGATTTGCCTAAGGCCACACCAAATTTAGTACATTTTTAAAAACCTTGTCGAGCGCAAATATGTGCCTAAGAGAGTGAGAGAGATTGGAAGAAAAGTAAAGCGTTACAGCCCTCACCTCACAACATTTGCGGCCCATTTGGGGAAACCAGGTTTTCGTTAATATTTAAATCTCGGAGTTTACTTGCTGCCTTGCTCTTTTAATTTCTGCTGATTACTTCCTGGAGAACTGAAACCTCGTCATATTTTTTGTTTCTTAAAAGCAATTCAGGTACATAGTTTAAAAAGTCAAGCACTTTAATGGAACTGACTTAAAAATGGTTAGAATGGCGAATTTTTTGTTTTATATATATTTTACCATAATCAAATTATTAAAAAAAAAAAAATCACACATTACTAACAGGGTTAAAATGAAAACTAGGAGCTCCGGCTTAATCCCTCCCCTTCCCGGTACCTACTCCCCACAGGTAGAATGGCAGTTCATTCATTATGGTGGAAAAGAGTCTCTCCTATCACAAACATTTTTCTTTGTTTTGTAATAAAATCATGTGACTTTTTAGACCACAGATGTGTTTGTTTTATTCTATTAGGCTTAGGCTGCAACAAGAATAAGTTTTGATTCCCCAAACAGACATCAGATGGCAGTGGGCGGGGAAAGGTGGAAAGAAAGATGAACTGCCCAGCCTGTTGAGGGAAATTTACAGACTATCCACAAAGTTGATAATCCACATTTAGAATCAGAGACTGACAAAAATGGTTTGTGATTGAAAACAGTATGCTGAGTCAGTCAGTCATAAAAGGATGAATACAGTATGATCCTGCTTATTTGAAACAGCTAGAATAGGCAAATACATAGAAACCAAAGTTTATTAGTGGTTACTTGGGGTCAGAGGGGGAGGGAAAGGGGAATCATGTTTAGGAATCATCGAGTATCTGTTAGTGGTGATGAAAATTTTGGTAAAATTTTGGATGATGGTCACTGAATTATACATGTAAAATGGTTGAGTTGGCAAATGTGTTATATATATATATATATGTTGTTGTTGTTGTTATGTGCCGTCGAGTCAAACCCGACTCATAGCGACCCCTCCTTGTTTTTCCGAGGCAGTATCACTACGGAA